AAGACTGATCAAGTTATGTAGTACTTGAGACAGAAATCTCACTTCTTCCTCAGCATGACGCAGTCATCGGCAACTTAGTTGGCTCCTCTTGATTGCATTTGCAGTCTCAATTCCCCAGTCTCCCAACCATTCATTTTCTTTCCCTGCCACCCTTTTTAAATAGGCTTGAATGAGAAACACAGAAGTACAGGCATCTGCAGCTTATAAGATAAAGAATACACACTAATATATTCCTTTTATGTTCCTCTGTGCTCCTCCCACTGGAGACTTTAATGCCTGGACTTCAGAGGTGGAAGGCTGATCGTGGCAAATTTATCAGGTACCTTAATGTTTAGAAAAGAAGCGCCACTTAACTTTCAATTTGTTTACTGGTTAAATCCTATAAGTTCTGTTTCTTATAACAGGCATCAAAACTGCTCTGGCTAATTTTCTTGGGGAAAATTAGCAAGAAAAATTGAAAAGACAGTGCTCTAGATATTCCCTGTTTGAATCTACAGAAAACTCCCAATGTATCACAACACATTTGGATAACTGATGCACCATACAGGTGGAGTGTAAAGATCTTTCATCCATGAGTTATTTTATGACTAAAAAGCAAAGAAAATACAATTTATAAGACCAAATAATTATGTACTGACCCACAATTAACTGTGCAATAAAACTTCAAAGTGCTTAGTTTTTTATATCTTAATTGTTTATGCCATGGAAGGGGGAGGATTCTGTAAGTAGTATGAAGTGATTAAGAAAGAGGTTTTCATGAAGAGGATTTCATTCTGAAAGAATGAGATTGGATGCCCAGTTTCCCAATATAAGGTCTGCTGTAAGATTGGGTTTCAATATAGAGAGCAAGACTCTATACTGCTTACAAGCCGGTATAGATGCCAGTAATGTGCCATAAAGGTAAAGGTTCCTGAAGTTCCTGACTCTAAGGGTGGGCAGTGCTCATCTTTGTTTCAAAGCCAAATATCCAGCGCAGTCCAAAGACATTTCCGTGGTCATGTGGCTGGCATGATTAAACACCAAAGGTGCA